CCTACTGAAGCCCGAAGAAGGTATATGGGAGAAGATCATCATCAACTATTGCTGGAACAGCAACATAAGATATTCGTACAGGCCAGAAGAAGAATAAAGAGGGCCCAGAAGAAAAGAAATGAGAGGGTGAATGCTGAAAGAAAGGTGGTAGAATTGAAGGTTGGAGACCCTGTCTACTATAAAATCCACCAGAGAGAAGGAAAACTAGACCAGAGATGGGAACCGTACTACCGGATAGTAGAGCAGACGGGCCCAGTATCATATGTAATATGGGATCAAGTGGCAGGACGAGCGAGGAGGGTTCATGCCAATGATCTGAAGAAGGCTGAAATAGCTAACCTGGAAATGAGTGAGCCGGGGCCTAAGAAGACAAGGAAAAAGGAAGGTAACTCTGGTTGAACGGAAGGAATGGAGACGGAGGAAGACTCCAAGAAGATGAGGAGATAGGTCGACTTGACCAGATAAACGAAGCAGTCCGAGTGACAGAGTTGGAACCCTCAGCGGGGATTAGCGATGTTCAGTCGTCGACTGAGTCAGTGCAGAGAAGACCCCGTGAGATCGCCATCACACCCCCATGTCCGAAGAAAAGGAAGAAAAACGAAGAGGTCCAATCAAGCAGTCAAGGCTCTAAAAAGAGGCACCCTGAACAAGACGAAGGGTCCAGCGAGTGGGAGGAGGAGGATCAAATACCCCTTTCCCAGCTTAAGGAAAGGATAAAGAACAGGAGAAGTTTACACATAGAGTCGAGAGGTATCGAAGACATTCAAGGTGAAGACTCTAAACAGGAAGAAGAATCAGGGGATGAAGAAGAGGACAAAAAAAACCTCCTGGACGGGAGTTAAACACAGAAAGAAGGTTAGAGGTTGAGCAGGAATCACCTCGGAAGATGAGATCAGGGAGGGAGAAGAACCCCAAATCTCAGTAGAACAAAAGGGCTGTGCAGAATAGAAGCATTTAGTGTCAACAGATAACGACACTGGCTCATCCAAGATCCTATTGGCTGACTATGGTAGATGTGAGTGGAGGGATGGAGATGCGGGCTGCACCTCACGAGGAACGGAAGATCATTGGCATTATTGATTGGCCACCAGTGGTGTCATGAAGTACGACCTTTAGAGTGGGGCGCCACGCACACCTGACCGGACCATTCTGTCTGCTAGAGGTTAGTTAGAGGAGGGAAGATTTAACTAAGAGAAAAGTTATGAAATGATTGAGTGATGAGTCGAGCGAGACTAAGTGATTGTGAAGAATAACAACAAGAGAATTTGTTACCTTTCAGGAATGATAGCAAGGTACAAAGGTGGAAGCAGACTACATAGCATTAAATTGGGGAGAACGAAATTTATGTTGCTATCAGCTGAAGAAGCTAGAAGGTGTAGAGATGATACCCTGGGGACTTGTACCTCGTTGAGCCCTATCTATAAAACTGGTAAACCTAAACTGTGCATACTAGAATTGTTTGAAGGGAGGGGAGAAGGAATCAAAAGAATCTGCCAAGTGGAGGTATTAACAAACTCGGCATTACCACAAGCTATCAGTGTTTCAGGACGGGGTGTGGGCAGTAGCCACCCAGAAACATATCAGCCTGTCTAGGGTATGTGGGGAGAGTCCACAAGGACATTAAGAATAAGGCCACCGTTATCCCTGGTGTCGCTACCCATGGGATGTTCGGCGGTTGGGGTGTCCATCTCCTTGCCCCCTATTACCAGATGGAAGAAAGGTATGAAGAAAAAAGATTCACTCATAGAGATGATTGGTAGAGGCTTAGTCAATTGTACAGAATTATGGGAGCCGATAGTGAAGAGATTCTCTAATGTTACCTTAAATAAGATGCCAGTATTAATGAAGCCAATAGAAAAGATCGATATGGATCACTTAAGAGATAAGTTAAGTGCGTTGGGAGACGAAGGTGTAGCTTGGGAAGACGATGAGCAGATCGCGATAAGTTGGTCAATAGTAATGGGTACATTCCTAGTGGTAGCCATCGGGGTGTAATAATATGGAAGATTAAGAGTAAGAGAAGATTAGCGAACGACAGTCTAGTGAGCATGCAACAACTCGAGAGGGAGATGCCGAGCAGTGTTCCTTACTCAGACAGGACTGGCGAAGAAATTGCTGAAAGACCAATGGAGGAGGCTGGCGTGAGACCACCACGTCTTGGCGGGAAAACCTCCCACGGCAGAGAGGAAAACATTGACCAAGAAGAACAAACCCTAGTGAACACATCTGCACCTACAAAACACACGCACACATTACCTTGCATGTAAAAACAAAAGAAAATGAAAAGAACATTTCATTGCATGTAGAACAAAAAGAAAATGAAAAGAACATTTCATTGCATGTAGAACAGAAGAAAATGAAAAGAACATTTCATTGCATGTAGAACAGAAGAAAATGAAAAGAACATTTCATTGCATGTAGAACAGAAGAAAATGAAAAGAACATTACATTGCCTGTAGAACAAAAGAAAATGAAAAGAACATTTCATTGCATGTAGAACAAAAGAAAATGAAAAGAACATTTCATTGCATGTAGAACAAAAGAAAATGGAAAGAACATTACCCTTGCATGTTAGAAAGTAGAATAGAATTGCATGAGACAAATGCATGGTGCATGTTAAACGATGTAATTGGGTTTAGGTGTCATTTACGGGTAAATGACAAATCGGTTAGGGGAGGATTGTGGCACCTTGCATTATTAGAAATATTCCTAGAAATATGATTTAATTTTTTCTTACTCAGTTTATTAAACAGGTTGTTAATTTTTTTAAAGCGGAAAATAACTGAGTTGAAAATAATTCACTAAGAGTGTACTAGACGATCCTAAGGAAAGAAGAAGGAAAGAAAGGAAAAGGAAGGAAGGGAAGAAAAAAAGAAAAGAAAGAAATGTACGACGATGACCCAATTGAGGGTGGAGATAGGAGTCAGAAAGAGATTTAGGTCAGCGTCTTGGCGATTTTGAAAGACAATTGGAAGAATAGAATTATAAATAATAAGAAGAAAGAAAGGGAAAAAAGACATGATATCAAAACGGGCCGCTGATGTAGACCAGATATCGTCAAAGCATCTGACCGACTTTTTGCGTGGAGAGATTCTTATCAATTTGGTTTAGAACAATAGAAATGAAATTTTTAATCAGAGAAAAGTGTTTTTGGGTTGAGGGGAGTTACGGTGGAGCGATATACAGATCTTGACCTGTTAAGAATTGGACACCCACGTTAATAAAAGTAGAGACATTTCAATGTAGATAATTAAGATTTTCGACTATCAGGAAAAACAAAGAGGTAAAAAGAGGGACAATTGCTTTTGGCTCACAGAGGGCGCCAAGAAGGCGGAAAAGATCCTTTCTAAAGTCAAGACTAATTAGCAGCGGGCTGTTTGACAAAGTCCAGGTGAGAGAAAGCCAAAGATTGTCATTTTGCGTACGTGCAAAAAGGGAAAAATTGGATTTTGTTTTTTTTTAAACAAGAACGATGTAACCACGCCCGCAAACAGAGGGAAGAGGATGTTCGATCAATAACAATTGGTCGAATACGATCACGTGACTTGCGGAAGAAAAGGGAAAGAAATGCTCGATCAGGAACGATTGGTTGAAAAGCGGTCACCTGACATACGAGAGACTAAGAGAGATGGATGTCGCCCCCACCAAAGGTACTGCGAGGGAAGTAGGGCGAAAACAATAGCGATAATGGAGAAGACAGAATTAATGCAGTTTTTGGAATTATCGAGAAAACCCTGACGCCGACAGACCCACCCCAGTTTGTTCTTGGCGTCAATAAAAGCAGGGCCCCAATCGACAAAAAATCAGTTCATCCCCGGACGGCAGCGAGAAAAGAACCCTCAGACAAGAAGAACTTCCAGCCCAAGTAGATGAAGAAGAAGAAATACAACTCAAGTCGGAGAGAAGAATCAACTGCGAATGATCGATAGAAATTAGCCCCAGTGTCGAACTGAACCACACTCCGACATACATACATGATTCTAGAAAGTAGGTAATTCGACATTTTTCTATTGTGTGATAGAAGCTTGGTGCCATAGTCCACAGAGCGGGTCAGGAAATGAGAACACTTGTTTTTTATGTAACGGACATTAAGATATAAAAGGTTGTTACCCTTTTTATCAGCAATTTTGTTTAGTGTCGTGAGTTTTTGTTTTATTTGTGTTTTGCCACCCCGCCGGACTCGATTTGTATCGCCCAATCCCTGCTGGTCCCGTCTGTCTAAGATCTAAACACAGCGTGGGTAGACAGACCCGAGATCGGTATAGTTGCTTTAGTGACCAGGTATTGGAAGCGAGTTGGGAAAGGCGAGGCTGGTGATCATCTGACCAAAGGGTTGGAGCGGCACGCTTGGACCCAGGAGGAGCGACCAGGAGGAGCGACGTCACCGTTGGCGCCGTAACCAAAGGATCCGACACTGGGCCAGGTGTGTAACCGTCACAAACAATCATATAGTTTATCAAATATTAAGAACATTTAAATTATTGTGATATTCAAAATTACTGATTGTTTTCTGGAGCAAATACAATTATTTTATTATTTACTTTTTATTTATTCAAATAAAAAAAAAAAGTAGAAATTTTCTGGGTTTATTATTTGATGAAGTTTCATTCTAATCCACATCAGAATTTAAAATGTGTTCAATATTTTATGCTTTTTTATTTATTTTATTGCCACAGCTCAAATGTTGATCAGCAAAAAAAAGGAAAGAAATGTGGGGCCATTTAACTGTTACCACTTCTGAACATAAAAAGAATAAACAAATATTGATTACAGAGTTTTACAGAACAGCCAGGCAACTAAAAATAGTAATCACCAGGGGCTACTAGGAGCCCATTAAACAAAATAGTGCAAACTCATAGGCATTTAACTAAAAGTACATACAACAATCTTTTGGGAAATGTCTCAGTGACATGTGCAATGAAAGAAATGAAGTGAAATTTAAAGTGAGAACTATCCAATTAATACTCGATACCTCAGCTAGTATTATATAAAAATTGTACCTTGTAAACCAGGTGTGACATTAACAGGAAAGCTCTTCTTATTGACTTTGGATTTGCTTAAAACCTGAAACAAAAAAGAAAAAATGATTTCACAAATTATTTCGACTAATATTCTTATCTTTATTCTTTTTATGCCATTTTGTTTGAGTTCTTCGGTTTTTTTATAGTATACTAGCAGTAGAGCCCGGCATTGCCCGGGGATGTAACAGTAAGAGATAGATCAAGTATCGACCATCATAAAGACTGAAAAATAAAATTGACAAAGATGATTGTTTAAGGTTGACAGACACACGTCTTAATTAGTTTTTTTTTTTTTACGAATTGGTCAAACCCAAATAAAAACATTGTTTTCAATCGTTATGAGTCTACTGATTGAATAGAATTTTATTATAAACAATTGTCTTGTAAATGGAATTTTTAAAGCATTCTGAATGTAAAAATAAAGAAAAAGTGTGCAAGACAATAAGAAACACTACCTGCCAAAAAAAAGTGAAGTTTTGTTGAAATCGGTTGAAAAATGTAGGAAATCCAATCCCATATATAAACGAACACACATACACACACAAACAATGTGGGTTTTATAATAAGTATAACTCGATATGAGTTGTCCCCCTTTCATTCTCGCCTCTTAATCATGTTTTCAAATTGATTTCATGCAAAAACAATTGTGTTTTTCCAATTTTTGGTGCTGTCAGAACCACGCAAAAGGTAATTTTTAAATAGTCCTGTGAAGTTTTGTTGAAATCGGTTGAAAAATGTAGGAAATCCGATCCAATATATAAATGAACAGACACACACAACCTGGGTTTTATAATAAGTATGATGTTGCTTCTCATCATCTAAGATTTTCTACAGAATTTTTAAAGATTCTGAAATTTTCATTTTGTGTTCTGTTTACTTGCATAGTGTAACATTTCTGCTAACTTATCAAGCATCAAGTGCAATGAATGGAATCTTGTATCAGATCATTTTTCAATAAAGCACTGAGCCGCACAGGTGTCATGAATGAAGAACAGGAGCGCATTGAAAATAAAGAGAAAATACACATGGTATATTGAAGTGGAATTGACTTTTAAGTGTAGAAATCTCAAATTATTGTGGAAAATCATGGATAAATCTTTATCATCCTAGCAGAATCTTTAACAGAATAATCATGGTAGTTGAGTTAATGTGTTTAGAAAATACAGTGAGACCTTAAAAAAAAAATAAAAAAAACAAAGTACAAAAAAAAAAAAATTATAAAAAATATGTAATTAGTAAAATTAACACAGTGACCTTTGCTTTTCTCAAAATTTTGGAAACAGTTCATATTAATACAAAATCTATGGAATATCATCAATGAAAACATCTAATTTAAGAGCTATCACAAAATCTGTCTGAAGCCAAGATAGTTAATATTTTTTATTTTATCTGAGTGTTAGGTATTGTCACATTAAAAGAAAAAAAAAATTTCTTTACCTCAGACACTGGTCGACCAACCATCTCAGAGATTTTTTCCCATCTTCCAGAAGTGCCACCAGGAAATTTGGCCACAGCCTTTGCAAGCAATGCATATTCCTCCTCACTCCATTCAGTGCCAGACTTTAACAGAAAGTAGCATTTACAAATAAGAAAAGAAAAACTTCTTTCATCTTAGCTAACCATAAAAAGAAAAACAAACTACAAATGAATAAATGGCTACAAATCTTTCATATTAATCATTTCACTTTTTATATTTAACAAAGCAAACGATTATCGTTTCCTACTGCTCTTTATCCCACTGCAGGTAATGGATTAAGGATTTTATCAGATAAGGGATTGAAGGCACATCTAGCTCATCCTGCCTGTAAAATATAAGGGGGTGCTGAAAATTCCTCAACCCAACAAAGTAGGGATAAAAAAAACAAAAATCTGGATGTTTGGGCATTTGTTTTCTTCATCTTAATAATGGTTTTATTGATAAACAATCGGATGTTTAGCCACACTGATCAGCTGTGAAACAGTGAAACTGTCTGTCTGTGGATGGCAATATATACACACCCGAAAAACTTAAAATTTAGTTGTGCCATCTTGCGAGATAAGTACAAATTTGTAAACAATGACTATTACTACTACTAATATTACAAAGCTTTTCCCTGTCAGTCATTGGAATGTTTATTCACAGAGAAAGTACTTAAAAATTTGCCTTTCTTTCAACTGTGCACTGATGACTTAGGGGGAAAATCTCCAACTGATTTGGCCATCAGTTGGGTTTTGATCCCAGCTTGAAGCAATCGCATGTCTAGATACACTGATGAGCTGTGAAACTACTATATATATATATATATATATATATATATATATATATGTGTGTGTGTGTGTGTGTGTGTAAATAAGTTTTGTTGAATTCAACTGATAAGGTCTGTCCATTTCCATTTTTTATTGTGTTTTTCTAAGTGCAAAATAAGTCATTGTACATCCAAATCAAAATTGGAGATAAGCTATCCAAAATACATATTTTTGTTCTGTTCAAGTAATTTCAAATGTCTCAGTCATTATGAAGAACCGGGTGTTGTCACTTTGGTGGACCACATTTTGTTGGCATGCCTAATGATGGAAAACAACATTTATTCTACACAACAAACATGTTTCCATATAACCTTTCTTTTTCCATGCATTTATGCCAGGAGTGAATTTTTTTACAGATTTATTGATGCAACCAGATTATTTATCGCTTGAAATCTCAAGTAATAATCATAATTTCCAATTCTCACAACTACTTTGAATTAAAACTGTGTTAAGATGATGGATTGACATTGACACACACTCAAAATATATCAAAGTTCAAAGTTTTCTTGCCCTAATATTTACCTTCAGTTTTTGGTCCACTTTTTCATCCTGAGTTGCATCAATGATTGGCATATAAGCAACAGCCGTGGCATTGGCAAGAGTCTCTGGAGAATATTCTGGAAGTTCAATCTTTTGTCGCTTTTTTACTTTTTTCACAGGTTCTATAAACGCACACACAAAAAAAACAAACATCAGAGACAATTTAAAAATAACTGTAAGAAACACCATCACTTTTTAATTATATACAACTGCCTCGACCACTCATCAGAACATGACAGGCAGTAGTAGCAGTGCTAATCAGCAGGTAGGCTAGGTTTAAGGCTCCAAGTTCACTACAACAAAGTGGATTAAGGAACTAGATGAGATATTCTGAGACATGGGCAATGGAATGAGAACAGTCTACCCATTGATTAAATAAAGGGTCCAATTTGAAATTCCTTGTAGGTAACCTAGATTGATATACACCTGACGAAGGTTGAAGGGTACAACAGCCGAACATAGTGATAAAAACAACAAAGATGAGGACAATAGACCAAATATAAATAGTGTAAATAATGATAACTCTTCATCCCAGAAAACATCTCTTTTTTGCTTGTATTAAAATCTTATTCATTAATCTATCAGAATTAATGTTGGTTCCAATTCAAAAAGGAGTCACAGCAATCCCCACCTCCTCCCAAAAATTTATAGACAGATTGTACAGATGCATGCTGGGATTTCTTCCTAGCCAATAAGAGAGGCCATTTCTTGGTCTCATCTGCTATATTTCTGTTCTTTCTTGTCTTGAAGCCAGAACACTGCGATCATTTGTCAGTATCCTTTTCATGTTAATACCATTCTTAGTTTGTGAACCTTTTTGCCTCATTACTGTTGCTTTGCTTGCTTTTGTCTTGCATATATTGTTTGCTTCATATTATTTTTGCCCTGTTCTTTTCTTTCATTTTTTAATTATCATCATCACAACATTTCAGCCATTGTTCCTTCTGGCCTTCTCCAGGTCTCTCTCGATTTGAGTAACTATTATCAATTCTGTTTGTTGGGCATTTCTACCAATAACATTTAACCTTAGTGAATTACTCTACAGTTAATTTTACCTGATCTTGAGTAGCCAGGACCAAGGGGATTGATGAGTGGTTGAGGCAGTTGCACATTTCTCTATAAAAAAACAGTAAAAAGCCAAAATATTTTGTAATACTGATTTCTAAAGGCAAATACTGGTTTCCACCTTAAATTCAATCTTAAATACAATTAAATACCTTAAATACAATGTTTTTACTTTAACACGTGTTAAACTAAGTTTAATAAATATTTATTTTTATCTGAGCAAAGATTATCTGCAATAGAACAATGATTATGTCTCTCCACAGCTTCTTGTACTGTTACTTTCAGCAATATATGCTCCTTTAAGAAACACTCTTCAATTTTTCTGGTACTTTTTCATCCTTTTACTCAAACTTGTCAAGTAGGTTTAATGCTGCTTTCTTATATTTCTTTTGCCTTCAATATGTCTTGTGAGTGTTAAATTCTTCAAGCCTTCTTTCCTCATTAAGTGTTCAGGAAGTAAAAATATTTCTTAAATCCTCTGAACAGTATCACCTACTTATTTCCATAACACTTCATTGACATAAACACTAGCATTCTTAAGGACAGGTCAATGAGCTAACTTTATTTCTGGAGCTATATACTTAGAAAAACAAAATATCAAAGACCCTGTACTAAAGCAAAGGACAATCCTAGTGGCACACACACCACACTCTCCAACCTCAATATAAATCCATGAAAAAAGAGCTTTGAGATCAATTCTCTCTTCCCTTTCACCAGAAAGTGGGACAGGCTTGTTCACTCCCTTAACTGCCAAAGTAATCAGGATGACTAACTACTACAAAAAAGGGTAAGTTTTGGTCTCTCTCTGTTCCACTGCACTGCGAGCTACAAACTCTGTCTTACAAGAAGGATATGATCTAGATTCATCATAAAAAAGAAAATATACCTTCCAAAACAATGCTCACCCAGTGTTAATTCATTTTGAATATAAAAACCAACATCAACCTCCACAAATCCTTTAATACTTTGCTCAGTTTCTGAAAGGCATCTTTCACTATTCCTCTGCAGCTTTGAATTTCTGTTGAACTGCCTTGATAGTTAAAATTCTGTACCTGCTTGATTTTGGTATCCCCATTGTGTAACTCATTTCATGGGCTGTCTATTTTGCTCACAACCATGAATTCTATCTTCTTCCAATTAATAGTTAGTCCTTTCTTCTTGCTTTCATCAACTGATAGATCTTTCAGTTTTGTTTCAGAATCTACCATCAATGCAGTGTCATCTACATAGCATATGTTGGCATGGTTATGTCTGCTGATAATAAATCCTGGTAGGTCTTCTAGTCCTGTTAAAATCACCTCGATGTACAGCTTAAATATATATCCAGTGAGAAAACATCCTTTTTGTTTTTGTGCAATCACTTAACTCATTATTTACATTCAGACTAATGTCCTTATCTTTATTATCATCATCACAACGTTTCAGCCATTGTTCCTTCTGGCCTTCTTCAGGTCTCTCTCGATTTGAATAACCTTCAGAGAATTTTGAACAGACCTTTATTTAATCAACAGTTGTTCTGATGTCTATGCCTAGGGATACCTCATCTTGTTTTTTTTAGTACTGCTTAGTTATTGCTAGGACTGTTTCCACCGAGTCTAGGTCTTTACTACCCAGTCCAGGTATTGAACTCACAGTTACTATGCCACCAAATTCATGGACCAATGCTTTAATCCACTAACCTAAAGGATTAAAATCTTGGTTTGGTTCCCTGAAGAAGGTCGGAAGGTAGAATAGCCGAAATATTGTGATAATAAAGAAAATGAGGACATTAGTCTGAATGCAAATAATGATAACTTATCATCTCAGAAATTCAGATGGATTGTTTGTCTTTTTTATGGCTTATCAACCCTTTGTAGGTTATATAAAGTCAGAAAATATTTTTAGATTGTAGAAATTTTTGGGAGATAATAATGATTTACTGATAGAAGTCTTACTAATTAACCCATAACTGTGAGGAGAAGTGGATATATACTCTGGAATTGGAACTCAGCTCTCTCCAATTTTGAGCCATTATCCACTACACCACTCACACATCATTGCTTACAGCACCTGGTATTCCCAAGTGGTCATCTATCAAGGTACTGACCAAGCTCATCATTGCTTAAATTCAGTAATCATACAACCAGCATTTCAACATGATGTGGCTGTAATCCTGTAGTAAGTTTCAATAAAAGTAAAATATAAAAATATATATAAACAAAAATAAAAAGAATTCAAATTAAAATAAGGCATTTGCACTTTCCTTTAAAACCCTTATCTCTTTCCTTTTCTCTAAACTTCCCTCTCAACTAATAAGAAGGCATCCCTCAAATAAAGAGGAAGAAAAGACTGAGCCCAAATGAAAAACACTAGTTTGCAGGACTAGATCCTACTTATTTATAACTATAAATTTACCAAAATAAGACAGGCTCCATGCATAACTTCCATTATATAAAAAGAGAACGAAAAGACTGACCTTGGATTCAAAACACCTGAAGTTTGTGGAACTAGAGCCTATTTATTTATGACTATAAATCTACCAAAATAAGACAGGTTCCCCATGCATAAATTCCATTATATAATAAAGAGAAAATAAAGACTTAGCCTGGATGAAAAATACCTGAAGTTTGTAGAACAAGAACTGACTTATTTACGAATATAAATCTACCAAAATAAGACAGGCACCTTACACACAACTTCCATTATATAAAAATTGAAAAAGGAAGGAACATCAGAAAATATGATAATTTTGGCCAATCAAAAAAATTAACACAAAGAGACTTTTGATGTTAGCCAAAACCAAGGTTTGCACCAGTGCCTTGGAGCCTGGTTAAAAGGATATAAACTAACAGTAAGAGACACAACTGCTGGTGAAACCATCCATGCATGATGCAGTTAAGAGGTCATCTGCTAATAATATTTCTGCTCTTTGAAGGGCTGAGAAAAAACACAGTAGATTGACGGTGACCTTTTTCTAAGATGACTACTACAACTAGCAAGGTCTGATTTGAAACTACTCAATACTTAGTCAAAACAAACTTTCTCTAGACTGCTACCAGGTTTGATCTCATAAACAAACATTTTACTACACCAAATATCAAAGGACTCACTTCAAATCAACTAAATTATTTGATTATACCTTTCACCACAGTTCATTTTATTTCTGAAGTTCCAATAAAATCATTATCAAGTCTATTCTGCACAACCAACAATCCATAAGCCTGTAATTCAAACAAAAACTTATTCTTGGTTTACATCCAAAATACTTATTCTCAATACAGTTTATGGATTACTTGTTAATTTTTTTCTGTGTAGATCAAATATACATTTCATTAGTTTCATGTAAGGTATAAATAGTGAGTTTGTTACCACCTAGTGCTCATTTAGTGTGGCCTTGTGCCAAAGTTCGTTTAGTAAAAGAAATATTTTTAAATAATAAATGGAGAGTAAGACCTATTATTTGAATCTAATTGTTAGCTTCTAATTACCAGCAGGTGTGGCTTGTTGCACCTATAAAGCTGAAATACACTCAGCCCTGGAGTTCAATATATGCTCTTTCAATTTCTCCTGAGCATTTTAAGTGTGAATTAACTGGAGAACGTTTGTCATTCAATTTGAATAAAATTAGCTTTTGATATTCTACCTGAACAATCTGGTAACAGAACATCATTTCCAATCTAGAAATTTCTGGGTTACAGGCTCAGCAAACTTCTATTATCTAACTCTGTGCTAAAGAATTTCAAATTGTCATTTTTTTATTTTGCCTATGAACATTACTGAATACATACTTAACTCACAGACACCAAATGCTATATCTGGTCTGGCGTTAGTTGCAATCCGTTTAAAACCGTCCGAGTTTGGTATTTAGTCGTATTGGTTTTTGATAACTCATTTAAATTTATGCAGGAACATTGGCAGAGAATGTTTTTTTGTAAAACAAGATTTTTAAAAAAATATTTACACTGTTTTGACTGTTGTCTTTATCTTTATTGTCATATTCACAACATTTTGGATATTGTATGCTCCTGACTTCTTCAGGTGATATACACATGGCCTAATGAATAAAAGCGTTGGTTGA